GGCTGGCCTCGAACTCACAAAGATCCGCCTGCCTCTGCCTCCCGAGTGCTGGGATTAAAGGCGTGCGCCACCACCGCCCGGCCCACATGCACATTCTTATTGTCAAAGGGAAATAAAACCTGCATCTCGGTGAAATTTTACAGTTCAGTGAGTTACAAAGCAGTGTGGTGACATCCCAGCCTTGTCGGTGTGGGAACAGGAGCGTTGACTCAGTGAAAGCCAGGCTAATGTCAGGAAAGAGCTACGTGCTCAAGGCCAGCTGGGATCCTAGCTTCCTCTATGACACGAGACAGACATTTGGACACAGTCAGATGACCAGTTGCAGAACTAGAAGTCAAGAGCTCCAGAAGTCACAGCAAGGAGCAGGGACCTGAACAAATCCTGTAAGCCTCAGTCTCACCCAAGACAGCTGTCTCATTGGTTCCTGAAGAGTCCATAATGGCAGGAAGGTATGGTAGTGGGCAGAGGAAGACATGGCAGCTGGAACAGGAAACAACTGGTCTCATTTTGTCTGCACACAGCAAGCAGAGAGGTCTCTACATGTCCTTAAGATGGCCCTCCTACCCATTGTCCAGATCTAACATTCTTTCTTCCTTTCTTTGGCAGTGTTCTCTTGGAGGAGGGATGGGAGTGTCCTGTTTAAAGCTCAGCAGTTACTTGTTCTCAGCACCTTGACCATGAACCCTTACATTTACCACTGCTCTGTAAAGAGAAGCATCTTTGACCAAGGCTGAGGTCAGCACTAGTGTCTGGATAGAAACAAATATTTAGGAGACAGTCTGGGATTGCCATTATCCACCTATACATGGCGCCTCTATTCAGAATCTGTTTTTAAAGTTGTTTTTAAATTAGCTTATGAAGTAGTGGGTTTCCATATGACTTCTTACTTCCTTAATTTTGGTTAATTCAGTTGTCAACTTGCCACAATCTAGAATCACCTGGGAAGAGAGGCTCCAAGCTGGGGTGTCTAGATCAGGTTTTCCTATGGGCATGTCAGTGCATGGTTGTCCTGATTCCATTATTTGCGGTGGGAAACCCATCCTGAAAGTGGGCTGCACCACCCCTGTGAGTTTGAGTTCCAGACTCTGAGAGGAGAAGGAGGGCTGAGTGCTGGCAGGCATGTGTTCTCTCTCTCTCTCTCTCTCTCTCTCTCTCTCTCTCTCTCTCTCTCTCTCTCTCTCTCTCCTGCTGCTGCCTACTGGATGTAACTAGCTCAGCTTCCCCTAAAAATGATGGACAGGAACCTGGCACTGTGAGCTAAAATAAGCCCCTCCATGCCCTGTTGCTTTCGTCATGGTATTTTATCACATCAACCTAACGGAAAGTGGGACACCATATTCTCCCAGGCCACACCCCTCCCTGTTGAAATCCTTCGTGTTCCCTCTATTCTCACATCACATGTACTCTGCCACCTGCGTCCTCCTGGCTATTTTTTTTTAAGTTGGAAGAATTTTTTTTTATTGCTGCTTCAGTCTTGCGGCTGGCTGTGGATCTGTTTAAATCACTTATTTCATCTTGGTTTAATTCTGGTTGGTCATATGCATCTAGAAACTCCTCCATTTATGTTAGATTTTCCAACTGTCTAGAATATGTGTTTTTTAAGGTTGCTCTTAGGGTTTTCTGGATCCCACTGGTATCTGTTGCTGTGCCCCCCTTTCAGTTCTGATTTGATTAATGGGAGGTATTCTCTTTCGTGCTTTCTCTTGGACTAATTGGCGAAGGGCTTGTCAGTCTTCTTTATCTTCTCAGTGGACCAGCTCTTCATGTCATTGACTCCCTGTATCATTTCTGAGCTTGTTCCTTCTGTTCTGTTTAATTTCCGCCCTGATCATAATTATTTTTCGCATTTACTGCTTTGGAGTTTGGTTTGTTCTTATTTTTCTTCCTTTTTCTTTCCTTTTTCTTTGTTGTTGTTGTTGTTGTTTGAGGCAAGGTTTCTCTGTGTAGCCCTGGCTATCCTGGAACTCACTCTGTAGACCAGGCTGGCCTCAAACTCAGAGATCCACCTGTATTAAAGGTGTGCGCCACCACCTCCTGGCTGTTTTTGTTTCTCTAAGTGCTTAAAGTACATCATTGTGTTGTTTGAGTTCTCACTGTTTTTCATGTCAGTATTTGTTTTTAAGACTGCCTTCCTTCTGTCCCATAGCTTTCTGTGTGTGTGTGTTGGCCTTTTAATTCCATTCTAGAATTTTTTTTTACTTCTTATTTGGTTTCTTCAGTGATATATTCATCATTCAATAGTGTATTGTTTCAAAGCCATGAGTTTGTGTACTCTCCACAGTTTCTATTGTTATTACTATCTAGCTTTATTTCACTGCTGTAGAGGCTGTGAGCTTGCCGTGGGGCTGAGGCCTTGCTGTGGGGGTTGTGGGCTTACCATGGGGTCAGGACTGCTGACTTTCCTCAGGCTGGCCCTTCAGCTGTGATTTTTGCCCCATTTCCAACCCCCAAGTTCCCACCCCCATCTCCTCACCCCCCACAACCACACACCCCATTGATGTTGGTTAAAGTTAATTAAGATGTTTCAAGTGCTGAGCTGGCCACATGGGCTGGGCAAGCCTAGACCTTAAAGGCAGCCCCCAAAAAGCCGATTTGCCAAACTGTGAGCTGTTTCTGCCCCGAGTGTCCATAAAGGGGGCTGGGATGGTTGGGGGGTGAGGCGTGAGGGAGGCACATTGAGGTAACAAGCAACCAAGGCTGGGGGGGGGGCAGATGGCCAGCACCACTCTGTCACCTAGCCAGGACACTTTTCTTTTGCTTTCAGAAACGGGTTCTATTCCTGACCAATGACTATTTCTTCACGGACATCAGTGACACACCTTTCAGGTGAGGGGATAATGCCACACAAGCCAGGGATTCGAGACAGAGTAGAAAGACCACCAACTCATGATAGAACTGACAGATCTGAGAGTCGATTCTTTCTTACCAAGTTAGCAATTCTGTGCTTTTAGCAAAAGATCCTAGTTAGTCATCATTCAGGAAATGAGATCTAGATGGGCTTTGCCAGTGTGGCTAAATGTCCAATTCTGCAGCCGAACTCTTAGTTTGAATCCCAGCTCCACCACTTAGAGGCTTTGCGACCTGAGTCAAGGCACTTAACGTCCCTGTGCCTCAAATGTGTCATCTGAGAAATGTGAACGATGATTATAGCAGCTACTTCTTGACTATGTTGATGATGTCATGATACAATCTACACAGATGTCGGCGGCGCAGAGTGGTAGGATGAGAGGATGAAAGCAGAATAGCGCCAGGGTTCCCGCCATCATTTCCCGGCACAGTGCAGCTTCCCTGCTCCGACTGCCCACTAGAACACCTGAGAGCGGCTCAGGATTGCCATCTCCTCAGCCCAGGCAAGCTGATTGTGCCAGGACTGGGAGGCAGAGCCCAGGCGCCACACCTTCTCACGCTCCAGATTCAAATCTAGTGTGCTACCAAGAGATGAGGATCAGTAGGACAGGGACCTCCTAGGGGGATCCTGAGACCCCTGAACATTTCAGGTGGTCCCTGGAAGGCCCCTGAACAACATTTCAGGTGGTCCCTGGAAGCTCAAGAACTTACTTACTCCTTAAGTAACCTGGGAGCTTCAGGAATCATGGTCTGTGGCGTTTCCAGGGCCCTCCTTGGGAAGAGTGACTGAGAGACTAGCAGTACCTTCCTGGTTCTCAGGGGAATGACCTGTGAGGCCAGGATAAAAGAGGAAAGCTAGAAAGGTGTGCCATTGCCCTGTGTCCAAAAGCTCCCTTGCTTGGTGAGCAACTAGCTGGAGCGGATGTGACCAGTGTGCACACGGCGCCCTTCTCTTCTCTCTAGCTTGGGAGTGGTGCTGACGAGAGGCCATGGAGAATACATCCTCCTGGGAAATACATCCGTGGAGGAAGGTAGGTCAAGCCACGTGCTGACTGTGATGTGGTGTGTCGTAGGGGATTCACTCTCCCGGTTGCTGAGCAGGACCAACCCAGGGTGGAATCAGGGTGAGCACTTCCCATCAGGTGGGGTGGCAGAGAAGGGCCTCACCCCTATCCCAGCTGCCCATGACCCCAGCTGCCTGGGCACCTTGAGAGAATCAACCTTCATGAGGGTCCAGATATCTCGGAGAGCCCTGAAAGATGGGACATTTCTATGTCTGTCCATTCTTCTTTCTTATCCCTGGGGTACACCCCATCACCTCATCATCCTGCCATCAGTCTGTTCCCCCCATCCCTAGACAATCATAGTGGCCTCCAGCTGTTCACCCTGCCTCTGTCTCTGACTTCATCCACAGAATCTAGCAAAGCCTCCCCTGGTGTTGTCCCGCCGACTCCCCCAAGTTTACTCTCTTAAGCTTCCTACCCTTCAAAAGATGTGCTGAAGGTCTGACTCTTAGAAGCTGTGGCTGTGACCTTCTCGGGTAGGGTGTTGGCAGACGTAATCAAGCCAAGATGAAATCATTAGGATGGGTCAGACTCCTGAGATTGGTGGCCTTAGAAGAAACAGGCAGCTGAGGACTAGAGCAGTGACTTGGTGGTTAAGGGCACTGGCTGCTCTCGCTAAGGACCGGGGTTCTGTTCCCAACACCCACGTGGCAGCTCACAATTATCTGGAACTCCAGTTCCAGGGCATCTGATGCCCTCTTCTGGCCTTGCACATATGGTACCTAGACATACATGCAGGCAAAACATCCAGACACATAAAATAATAGTAATTCAAAAATTAAAACTAGACAGCTGAGGGAAGGGGCCTCTGTGGTGGCAGACAAAGAGGAAGCACACAGCATAGTGAGCCCCGGGGCAGGGAGCTGGCTACCAGGGAGCGAGGCTGCCC